AACTGGCTCGGCAGGACTTGAGCAGAGATTGTACATTCAGCATCAATACAGTGATACAGTTAGTACACCTGTCATTTGTACAACACGTGGGCTCGAACAGACATTTAGCAGCAGTTCATATACAGCGTTAGGAGAGGGTCCTACAGGTCACCATGGCAAGCTTTGATCTGGTGTCAGAGCTCCACACCTTAGCTGCCCATAACCCAAATCCTAAAGGGTTTTGTTTTTTCCATTCCATTCCCAGACTCTGCCAACTCCAATAATTCTTAACATATACAGATATCCATATACATTATTATTATTTTTAATTGAAATGCTCCTTCACATACACAATCATATATTGAATTATTAAGAACAAGAATATATTTTCGGAGCAGAACGGCAGAACGATCTGCTCTGCCAGTGCCACCCATAAACTAGACAAGTAACTAAGAAGAAGTTTGACAGTTTCAGACCACTTAGGAAAGAGAAATTCTCTTGGCCTAAAGACAGGGGAGCCATGCAGTGAAAGTGCTATGGAGGGTACAGTAAATGCAATAGACAGAAAAACACAAATTGTTAAAATATGTTTTCTTGTAAAGATTCTGGAGCCATAAGGAGAATCCTTATCAACAGGAACTATCTTTACAATTTCAGAAATACTGGATAGCATTAACGCAGGAAAGAGTATGACACCAAAAATAAACAGAGTGATTTTGGCCACAAGCTGTATTTCTTTTAATATACCAGGATGGATACTGAATTTTAACAGTGCATCTGATTTACAAAAAGCCACCTCTGCCAACCTTGTGGAAGACAAAAGCCCTCGTTAGCTAAAACATCTGACTCCATTAGGGACTCTGTTGTTTAGGCAAACAAAGCTCAGGGATGCTGAAACTGAAAAGCCCTCCTTACTAAGGCAGAAAACTCCAATCAAAATAGAATTTAAACCAAAACCAAGGAAGGCAAAGAGAAGGCAACTCTCTTCAAAAAGTTTCATTACAAACATTTGGAAGTGAAAAAACCAAACCAAACCAACAAACCAAGCAAAAAGAAAACCCAAACAAAAACCCCTAACAAAAAACCCCAGGAGGTGGGAGGGGAAGCAGCTCACAGCAAAAACCATCCCTGGCACTGGCTGTGCAACTTTGGGGTGGGCTTGATAACCAAATGAGCAGAACAAGCTGCAGCCTGGGTGGTGCAGCTATTGAGAGAGCAGAAGGTGCCTCCAAACCTAGATTAGGTTATTTTTAACTATATCATATCTGGCAACAAACTGCAAACTCCCAAGAGTTGCTGGAGTTTCCCTCACCCCATTGGTCACTCTTATTAAAGGTACATAAAGTTTATGGCAGAGCTGATAATCCTGGTGACACCAAGGATGAGCAAGTCCCAGGGCAAGTTGTCCAAGGGCTGTGAGCTGCTTCCTCAGCCCTGTTCTTCATGGTTGGTTTTTTCCTTCTCAAATGACTTCATGGAATGACTTTCACTGAACTAACTCCTAACCACTGGGGCCAAGCCTGCTATAAATCCCACTTGGTGTACCAATCACCCCAGCGTCACCAAGAGGTGAAGAACTGGTTTGGTGGAGGTGGGAAGAAAACACAAGCTCCTCCTGAGAACAAAGGAGACAGAACAAGTTTGGGTCCCTCCACAAACCTGCTGCAATTCACCTCCTGTGCCCAACACTACCTGCTTGAAGTATCTCCCTTGGTTTCAAGACCTGAAAAGCCAAACATGAAAATATTTGGGTGGTTTTTACTTTATTATATACAGGCTATTTGCTCATAAAATGTAATGGAGCTGCCATTCTAGATCTAGAGGCATCCAGGTCCAGAAAATGGGAGGCTACGAGGTGATGGTAAAGCTGGAGGAGCTTCCAGCCTTGCAGCATCCAAAGCTTAACAATTCATCTACTCTATTACTAAAGCCAAGAAGAAATGAGAAAAACAGAATTATAAGCCAAAAAAACCAAAGGATGACTGCTTTTGATGCAGCACTTGTGGATGTGATATGCAGAGTTCATGGTACAAGCTGATGAGGATGTCATCACCAACCAGCACAGACTCCATGTGTGTGACTGTGCTCACAGGAGTCATTTGCCTGGCTATATATACACTTTATTCTCATTCATATTGAAAGAGTTCAACTTCTTCCACGAAAAGTCCCTTTAAAGAGATTTTTAACAATATATACTTTTTGTCATATCCCCTGCATAAAAGAAAAATACACTTTATTTGAACAGCCAAGAAAAAACTGCAATTTATTAAGTTTCAAAGAATCTTCGTACTCTTGAAAGCAACTTTCGGTGCATGTTCTTTTAACAATCACATTCTATGAGGAGAATAAACATTAAAAGCCACAATTGTTGGTTTTTTTTTTTAATCTCAGAGTTACAGACATCTTTAAATCCAAAAGGAAAGGCAAAAAAAAAAAAGCCCCAAAACAAACGAACAAAAAAAAAATCCCACCCTGCCCCAAAACCCTTAAACAGAGATTTTCATTCCCAATTTTTTAAAATATCAGGAGTTTTTCTACAACTCAATGCTAAACTTCAGCATGGAAAATTGTATGTAAACACGCACATACACACATACATATTTTATATAAGTGTGTGTGTGTATATATATATATAAAATATATATGTAGGAGGCGTGTAATGGCAATGAGATGCAATTACTCTGAGGAAAGGTTATTCAGCTAAATACACTACTCAAACTTGAGAGAAAAAAACCAAACAAGTCTTGAACCCAGTTTGTGCATAGTTCATGATCCTCTATAAAACCAGCTTTTGTTAATTTGCAATCTTGCAGGACCCTTTAAATCTGATAAAACCATTAAAAAGCTAATCTTCAAAAGAAAAAAAAACAAAACAACAAAATAAAATAATAATGTAATGCACAAGTTTCCTGATCCAAGCAGGCAGGGAGCACAATGTTCATATAATTTTTAAAACATACTTGAAGTGTATGTTATTCCATTGTCTTTCTTCCTTTCAAAACAATCAAAAACATTGATTTTTTTTTCTTTTTTTTTTAAACATAAAGCAATTTTTTTTTTAATATATAAAGCACTCTTCAAACATCTATTTCTTTTGAGTCCATTATTTGGTAAATATGTAACTGCTACACATTAGATTAGGTATTTTCTTCTTTCTTACTGTCTTTTTTTTTGTGTGTTTTTTTTTTTTCCATTTTATTTTTTTGTATTTTTTTTTTAATAATATCTTCAGTGCTAGGAGTTGGGTTTTAAAAATACATGAAATGGTGTGGAGTTGCTCCTCGGGAAACCCGGCTTTCCTGAGACATCTTCCACCATGTGCAAGATAGTGATCACAAAAGTTTTTTCGCCACTTCGACGAAGAGGAGGAAAAAAATTGAAACCAACAACAACAACAACAACAAACGACAACCAAAAAAACCCAAAGTTTTACACACAGCAATGGCCAAAGAAAAGAATCATAACAACACTGTTCAATCCCAGAGCTCTGAAGTAGCATATCTTCATTCTGAAAATAAGTTTTCTTTACGATGGAAGTCTCTCTCTCTCTTTTTTTTTTAATGTGTTTTTTTTTTCTCTTTAGTTTTTTTTTCTTTTTTTAATTCTTTTTATTTTAAAGTTTGAAGGAGGAAAACAAAAAAAAAAAGAAAGAAAAAAAAAAAGGTCTGTAAACAGGTGGGAGCCTCAACTCCTGGCTCCTCCAAAAGCAGTCAAAACCTATGTCCAAGTGCTTGTTTCTGTTCCTGCTTGCAAGGGAACTATCCACTCTTTACAATTATCTATGGCCACAGTTCAACAAGAGTATTTTTGTTTTCAACTTGATATTCCAAAGGGAAAAATGGTGCAATACTCCGGTCATCATTTTCTTGCATTAGTCCACAATAAAAAGCTGCTAAAGGTAGATATACATATTATTCTCCAGAGATACACACTGTAAATTTTTTTTTTAAATGCAATTAAGAGTCCTTGAGTAAACATTTACACGTGAATTGTCGCCGGCCCCTTCGATCAGTTTCTTGTTTTGTTTGTTTTTTCTTTGTAACATGATAGGATTAGCTACAAGAAGGGCTGCGGACACTCAGTGCAAAGTTAGAAGCTAATAACAATTCAACATTTGACCAACGAGCAAATAAAAAGCATATACTGAAGGAAAAAGAAAAACATCACACCTGTAGTTACACCAGCCACGGGCGCTCACTCACACTCACTCACACACTCACACTCACGCAGCTGTTCCAACAAAAAACATATAGTCTGAACTTCAAAAACAAAAATCTTAGAGCCTGGTTTTTTGTGTATTGATGCCAACCTGGAAGTGTAATAATTAGACTTAGAAAGTGTTCACATTTTTGTTATTGGCCTGCTGGATTCAAGTATTTGCATGTTGATATGTTTTCTTTTTTTTTAGTCTGTTTTGTTTTTTCTTTTTTTTTTTTTAACTTTTTTTGTATATATATATATTTATATTTTTTTTTTTGGGATTAAAAAAATGACATGAAAAAAGTAATGAAACAAGGGTAATGTGCATAGGCAGATCCATGGGAGTAGTGGACACAGAGATACCCCAGCCCTGCCCTCCCCTCTCCCCCCCAGCTCGACCTGTACAGTCAAGAGTCACTTTTCTGATTTGTTAACTTTTCTGTACCAATGGTAAATATCACACTTCACCCTTTCTGATTATTGGGTCCGCCTCTGGTAATGTGCATAATAGTCACAGGCTCATTTTAAATAGGCTTTCATTTCCCCCTTCCCCCCCCCTCCCCACCCAGTTGATAAAATAACCCTTTCCAGCCCAAATTCTGAAAAGTGCCCTTCATGATAGACCTACTTCTAAGCAGCTTTTATACTTGGTTTTGAAAAAAATCACCATACAAACATAAAAAGACAACATAAAAACAAAAAGCCATGAAAAAAAAAAAACACAACAACCAACCAAACAACAAAACCTGTCATTAGCATGTGACACTGACCCAAAGTAGCCCATACTGTTTCATCAACAGTTCACAAGGACTTCTGCAGTTTCATATTCGATATTGGACAGAGGTACTAAAAAAAAGGGCTGCCAGTCTGATTTGTTAAAGCTGGATTCTTCATCAAGCCCGGGACTGGAAAGGGTTACAATATTTTTATTTTCCTTTAGTGCTGATGATTGTTATTTTCCATTTTTATTTCTCTTGTTTCCTAGATGGACTCCCCGCTGAGAAGATCACCTGGAAGAAGAGTATTCAAAGGGGTCGGGCTCCCGATAACTCTGCCGTCGTCGGTGCTGGGGGGTCCCCAAAGGCTGCTGGAGTACTGAGGGACCCCCCCCCAGAGCAGGTCGCTGCTCCCCTTGCCCCCCAGGCAGGGGGTGTTCCAGTGCCCGGCGTCGCTGCGCACCAAGGCGTGGGAGCTGCTGGAGGAGCCCAGGCGGCTCGGGTTGGTTCCGGCGTTGGACTGCCAGCTGGAGGTGGGCGGCAGGGCCTGGCCTTGTGCTAAGAAACGGTTTACTTCTTCCTCCCCAGCAAACTCGGCCAGGATGGTAGTGTTTCCCAGGACACACCTGGGGACAGAAACAACAGGAGGAGGGACATGAAAGAGGAGCTGCAAAGGGAACTTTATGAACATCGCATCTTCAGGATTTCCACCTTCCGCAAGCGCGTCGGGGAAGGGACACAAAGGCAGGCTGGGAAACCTGTGCATTCCTCATACCAATTTCAACTGATTTGCAAAATTTGAGCAACATCTACATAGCAAAAAAAAAAACCCCACATAGCCAGAGATGGAGAGTGTGAGCAAGCTACTCCCATCTCAAATCCGACAGGAGCTGAGGGCACTGGCTCTGTGATGTATTTTCCAGTGATCAACTCCATGTAAACATTAATCTGTGGAACAGAGAGGGGCTGGTGTCTCTGGGAACTCTAATACTGTCCTCTTGGCTTCCACAAATCCCATCGTATTTTACCCTTGTCACTCTGCCAGGAAACCAAACACATACATAGCTCAGCCCTTCTCATTCAGAAAGGTCTGTCCTGTCCTTGCCAGCAGTGTAATTATAGTTGTGCCTCAACCTATTTACAAAAAAACACTGAAATGGAGGCCTGCCCAATATGATACTGTAAAGATGTTGCCACATACATATTTAAAATAAGCACTTTAAATTCACAGAATTATTTTCCCTTTGGCATTATTGCTTTTATCTGCACTTATGTATCTAAGCTGGGTCAGGTCTTCATGTTTTCTGAATGCTGCTTCATAAGAGTTGATTAAAGAATGGTCACCAGTTAAATAAGCAACAGGTTCATTAATATAATCATTATTACTAGAATTTCTGTTAATTAGGTTCATAATGGGAAAGCAGTTGCAAGTGTATATATGGAATAACCATTGCTCCTAAATGTTTATGGGGAGGTTATCAGGTCCAAATGGTATTTCCACTAGGACCAGTATTTTTCATCCTACTCATGCTTTAACCTGTTGGTAAAGAAAACCACTTTCCAACTCTAAGCACCCATGTGTTCTTTTGAAACATCTCTTAATCCTCCCTCCTGTCATTGATATTATCAGTTAAATTCTCCAGCTCTTGTGAAATATGCCAATTAATCCCATGGATTTGAAAAAACCAACATTTTATTGTCATACATTTCTTTCAAAACTCCTTTAAAAAAAGGTGACCACCACAAACACATGATTTATCATCCTTTTGTCATTTCTGTTGCCTTCTCATGCTCCCTCTGAGCTTCCTTTGCAATTCTAATCACCTCTTACAAATTCTCTGCAGGTGATAAAAGCTTAATGAACACTTTATTAACGGTGAATATCTATTATGAAGTTTTGCAATGACCTCTTATTCACTAGGATACGAAACCCCCAGTTACTTCTCTCTCATTATTATACAAAATAGGCTTCAACTAGTGATCTGTTCTGAGTCTTAGCAAATAAACACCTAAGGAAATAGTTTCTGAGCTAAAACTGGCTGTGTAACAAAGGAAAGAGAAAGCAGGAACATACATATGCAGAGACTTCTGGGCCTTGGCTGCTTCCTCCTTGGAACTGTATCGGACCACAGCATTCCCTTGTGTCAGGTTCAAGTGGAATGTTATTAGAGGGCCATGTTGCAAACACAGTGTCCTCAGTGTGGAACCATCAATCTGGTAAGAAGAAAGTGGGGAAAGGTTACCTGCATTCTTGTGAGTTTACTTTAAATGCTTGTTAACTGAAGTTTTACAAGCTAAAAAATAAGTACAGGTGAAAGAAAAAACATTTTTCTTCCATAAGAAGAATATTTTAATTACAGACTTGTGACTGTCTTTGTTGAGAGACATTGTCTTTTTAAGGCTTCCCTACAGTCCAGGGCACAACATTTCCCAACGTAGGTGATACAAATGATATTTCTCATTAGAAGTCCACTGAAGTCTAGAAATAAGTCAAAGGAAAAACACGTTCACAAATACAACTCAGTTTTCCCCAAGATGAATTTGGATGTCTTCATTCAAGGCTTTGTGCCTTAAGTTCTGCCTTGTGAATGACACTACATGGAAGATGTGACAGACTTAGGGGGAAAACCAAAAAAAACCCAAACCCATAGGAAAAGCAGATTTTACATCTCTGTATCTGCTTTAAAACATCATCCTCCTCCAAACTTACATAAATGGTGCACAACAAATGACTAATTACAGTCCTGAATGCTTATACTTGATTTGACAGCACTTGGAAAACTTCATGAATTCCCTGCAGAAGACAGACACTGGTAATAAATACAGAATAGCTTCCCTTCAAATGAATGCAATGGTTCACTCATGTTCTTCTCATCATCCCTCAAATCTGGTCAGTCTCTTCACAACCAGTTATGTACCATTCCATTTACCTGGGGCGTGAGGTTTCGAAGAACCAGCCAGCTGCTTGTTCTCCCTGAGCTGTCAGTACTCCATGCAGAACCTACAACACCAACATCACCAAAAAACATGGTATCAGGGTGTGGAGAGCACAGTACAAGAAGAAAACTTATCTGCAATCAACAACAGGCTAAGCAGTACTGCTACTGAAAACAAATCCTACAGCAGCTTCCTCACATCTTGATTTATTGTCTCCTTTGGAATGAAAACCTGCTTTTGTTACATTTAAAAGATCTGTGCCATTTTTCATGTTCCCACAAGAACTATTAGAAAACTAGTGGATGTAAGCATGATAATGCAACAAACTACCTTCAGGTCACATTAGAATTAATCTGGAAGACATTTTAAAAGCAATTCAGATACCAAGCTCAGATTGCTGCTTGCTATTAAAAGATGTTTATAGCACTGCAGCATTCTGCTATTTGCCAGTGATAGATTAATGTATATGACTTATTCAAAACAGTTATTTCTGCACTGACAATGTTCTGATTTAAGATACAAGGACATAAGCAACAAAACCTGCTTTTCCAGCTCCAGCCTAAGAAAACTGTACAAGCTTGATATTTATGAGTGGCACCTGACAAACCACAGTGCTTCTGTGGTCATGTCTGTAACCACACTCAAGCTCCAGAGAGATTTCTGGCACCACCGATATCTGCCCACCAGGTGGGGTTTTGGTGAAGAAAACACATAAAATAAATGGTGAAAAGGGATGAACATTTAATTCCCAATATAGTGAAAGCAGATTAATAAAACAGTCAGCTTTAGAAAATAAGTGTAATACTTTTGAAGGTGACAACACCTCACAAACAAACATGGCACACCTACTTACATAGCCAGATCCATGGTTTCTAATATTTGTATTAAGAAAAACAATGTAATCTAAAAAAAACCAACCCTGCATGAAAAAATTAAGACACTTCCTGAGGATCCTGCAATGCCAGCAGGTCCTAAATGCTTCTCAACCATGCTCCAAAAATTGTTCCATGTTAAATTCCATGAGCTGATCTTGAAGTCTTGTAGGCAGTCATAAATCATCCCACAGAACAAGAAGTATGTTTGAAAGATTTTTAGTAATGAAGGAAATGGGGAAAAAAAATCCTAGTTGGGGTGAAACTATTTGGCAATTGCTCTGTAAAATTAGTAATAGGACCAACTGAAAGATGACAGCTTCAGTTTTACAATTTTACCTAAAACAGACATGAGCTTCATCCCCAAAACACACACATTCAACTTGTACTAAACCTCAAGTTTTTGGAGCCTGGTAACAGAACTATTTGGTGTCCTTGCTGTTGTAACACAGAATAAAAGCAATCAATTATAAAAAGAAGGCACTGTGGTGTTACAAAATACAGAAGCCAAGAATACCAGAGGAGTAAGAGCTGGTCCAACCCAGGGGACTGGCACCCCATGTAGATGATGGCTTGGTGTTTGTTAAGCCTGGAGGTGGTCTTGTAGGAGCAGTAGTGTTTCTGGGTACCTTCCATAGTTCATGGGACAGAGAGGCTTGTGTGTGAGAGATTGGGCCAGAGGACCACGTAGACTTGATGTCTGACAATTTACCTGCAATAGAAAAAAAAAACCCACAATAAATCTGTGTGGTTTTAGTTAGCAACAACTCTTACACCAAGTAGGATGGGGAATCATCAAGCTTCTGCATTGACCATATTCTTCCAACCTTTCAGGAGATAGAAGAGTAGCATTCTCAACCATTCAGTGACATAAATCCTGTTTTCTTTGAACATACTTTCACTAGTATTTACATTTTCAAAGAACTTTGTATTTAATGAACCTCCCAACACCTGCTACATATACAGTTTCCTTTTTAAAATCTCCTAGTTTTCTTTCTTGTAAGAGACAATACATGAAAAAAGATCAGAAAATTGAATTAAGTATTTGAAATCTAGTTTCATAAAAATTATAATGAAATACTTCAAGATTGTCTCTCTTAAAACCACTGGATCTTACACAACTCATTTTATCTAATATGAAGTAACCAGTATATCCTTCTGCTCTTGTGATATTATTAAAATTCCAATGATCAAAGACCAACAAAAACTGTATTTCTGAACATTCAAAGTAACAAATGCTCCTTTTCCATGTCTTTGAGAAAAACGAAGTTTTCAGAAGGCATGTTCATATCACAATCTGTTACTCTCTGTAACTTCTTACTGCTCAGTCTGTTGTTTTCCTCATCAGTTTTTAACCTATCCTACCCTACTACTGTTCCTGCCAAATCAATTTTATAAAAGAATAGAAAAAAACAAGAATAACAAATACATTTAGCAGTCAGACTGGCAGACAAAACTGATTCAAACTACAGATACCAAAACAAACCTTTTTATTCACCTTTAAACTTGAGACACCCCTGCCTTTCTTCCTTGTATCAACACATGTTGTGAAAAGAAGAGTTCAATTTCCTGGTCCTAGCACAGGGTTTAGCACTGAAATGGTCTCATCCCTGCATCTTCTACCAGAATAAATGATACTGTGATTGTGCTGCCTTAATGCTTTAATGTTGATACTTGGTCTGACAAAGTCCAAGACACAAAAATCCTATGAATCTTTTTAAAACCAGGTTTGAACTGGCAGACCAAGCTTATATTGAATCAGTGCTTTCCATCAGGCAGCCACTGAAGTTTTTCATTAGTCCTAAAACCAAATTTACCAGTCATCAAATCACAGTCACACACACACATACTCCCCAAATTGCCTCTATTTATCACTTAACTCATTGATTTTATACTCAATCATAACAATTGAAGTGAAAAGGCAATCACTCTCCCACCTTCTTGCAAACTCTAGCAACAAAAAGAATTTGACAATGATGATGAAGACACTAACAAGGGTAAAATGGCAGGAGGAAAGGGAGAAAGTCTGAGTTTTGGAACTCAGAGCAGCTCAGCCTGGGGCATAGCACACGATACATGCACATTCCCACAGATTAGATGTTGCTATGTCACTACTTCTCATGAGGTTAACAAAAAGATTAGATGACACTGCAACCAAATAAAAAGCAAATAAAGCAGAAATGCATGGCAGATAAAAAGAAAAGCAAGCCACCACTTTTCCTTTCACTGGAGTCAAAACATTCCAAACAAACCCTTCTCATTTTTCATTCTGCAGTATGAACTGTTGCACCTTGCTTTATTCAAAAAAGTGGAGGGTTTTCATTGATTAGATATGAAAATATGACCACAATCCACACAACAGCCCCAAATCATTTTTATAATGGGACAAGCTGGGTATATAGATACCCAGCTAGCAAAGTTTCCATGATTTGCAGAAAGAAATGCTCCAGAATGTATAACTCATTAAAAAGAGTGGGGTAATTGTTTAGACCATCTACAAGCTCAGCATCAGGCTTTGGATTGCCTACTAAAAGACATTAAAGAGCCCCAACCCCTCCAGAGCCATGCAGAGTTACCTCCTTGAGGTACTGCCAAACTTCTTCCTGAGCTGAACATAGCTCACTTTTAACAGTGAGTTTATTAATAAAAACTATCAGCTCTTACTAGATGAGTCTTGTAAGGGCATTTCTACTGAGATCCTAGGAAATATTCCTCCTCTAAGTTGCAATGGAAATAGCCATGAATAGATTAAGATGCCAACTCAAGAGTGACAGCACGTGGCATCAAGTGGAATAAACACATTTTTCCTTAGCACAATTCCAGACATACCATCCACCGCTCCCCGCTGGAGAGCTGCCAGGAGAGCTGCCAACCTAGCCCAGGACTTAAAAAAACACACTTCTGTCCCTAGTAGCCCTCCTGCACTAACTGGGACAGCACTTCCCAGGGCCTTTTCTCAGGATGCAGAAGGGTGGGGAAGTAGAAAGGCCAGATTTCCTACCTGCAATGCTAGGTGCGGATGCAATGCTGCTGAAAGAGCTACTGTAGCCGGAGGCACTAAGCGGCCAGGCACTCGATGAAGGCAGCGTGGCATTCTGAGATGATGTTGGGGATGACCCTGCAGAACCAGCAGAGAAGCAACTAAGAAAGATGAGCATAATGATGTCTGGTGTGACAAGAGCAAATCTAGTCCGTGCAAATACAAACCATGCAAGGCATTTTTTCTTTCGTTGGCCTGGGCTCTCAAGTCTAGGAATGAAATGTTACAGAACGCATGATACAGTGGAACAGGAGGCTTTGGTAGTAAAGAAAAGAAAGCTGGCATAGTAGCAAATGTACTAGCACCTGTGCAGAAGATAAATTCTGCATTTCCATGTGACTTTTTTAAAAAATCAGTGTTAAACTGTTCAGTCTCAAGGAACAGGCTTCACTGATAAAGGTGCTCTGCCAGCTGAGTTAAGCAATGGCAACTGTAGATGAGCATAGATGTATATGATAAACTAACCTCTTACCATGGCTGATTTCCCCTAAATTACTCAAGGTAAGCACTTCTACATCCTAATGCCCACAAACAACTTCAGATTTTTGCAAACTTTCAGTAAGGCAAGGGAATATTTTACCAATCTCTTCTCCAACTGATAACATTAAATGAAATAGCCTGAAACCATCTTGGTAAATCATTTACAATCTGAGGAGCTATCTAAGCACACATACAATTTTCTAACTGGCAGCAAATGAAAGAAACTGAACAGAAAATAAAAGATCTTCATTATAAAGACCAGAAGAGCTGGAGGTATTCTCTCCAGCCACCAACAAAATTGTGTATCTTATGTGACTTATCATTGCTGACATACTGAGATGGGCTGTGATACTGAAACATCTTTAACCGACTAACAAGAACAGGTGAGTTCTTTGGAAAAGAGTGCTACACTGTGGGAGGAGGAAGGAGGCAAAAGGCCACTCTCGTCCCTCACAGCTCAATAAAAAAACAGGCTGCATGTTCAGCTGGAACAGCAACCAACACACTTTACCTCACTCAGGCTTCCTGTGCTGCAAAGGACACCAATGCAGACATGAGTCTCAAGAAAAATAACTATGCCAAGGCCTTATCTGGAAATAATTTATTCCCCAGGCAGGCCTACAGAGCTGAAACTGGTCCTGATTCTGCCAAGACTTTCAAGCTCATAGTAGCTGACACTGCAAAGCTTCATTAGCAAACAGGGTGAGAAAAAAGATAAGTCCAAAAGCTTAGGTTTTGTCTGTTTCTAAGTGTTCCGTGCAAGGACAGCGTTAGATGCAGTCTAGGCCTCTAAATGGAGATCAGCTCTGTTAACACAATCCATGTGCTTCAAGCTGCAGTGTTCACAGACTGTCTCTTCCTGGCAGCATGTTGTGAAAGCCCTGATCTCATATGGGGAGCTACTGACAATAACACATGATTTTACCTAGGAGCAAACACCTAGGTTATATGAGCATAAAGAAACTGATTCTGCAACTACATTTTTAATTAGAATCTTTATTATTAACTAGCAAAAAAGCTAAGGAGGAAAGGCAGCATATGTGGACCCCAACAGTCACTGATTTTCAGAAGGTTTTGGCTTTTGAAGGCCTGTTTACTTCTGCAGAGATCATCTGTACTAACTCTCTTTGTGTCATTGTTTCTTCATTCCACAGATTATACACTAGCAGAGCTAATGTGCACTTTCCTTCTATAGAGAAGGAAAAGCTGTAGTAGGTATCATCTACCTTACAGGTGTAGGCAGCTCTGCAGGGTTAGGCTTTTGGCCTAAGGGAGCATCTCCTGGGTGCACATCTGAACTGTGACTGAATTAAATCTTATACTTTCCTTTTTATAACCTCAAACCATCCAGGTTGCCTGCCCCTTGAGGTGCATTTGGGTCATGAAAAAATCAATTCACCATTACTCACACACAAATACCTCATGGTTCAACCAAAATGAAGATTGTTTTCTGGTAAGAGACAACAGGAATCATTCCAGGCAAGGAAAATCCCTGCTTCCTTTCCCTCACATTTCACATCCCTTCAACTGAACTAACAAACCCAGGGCTGGAAACCCATTTCAAGGACACTTTGATTCACAAATTACTAGAACAAAATCCCCAGTTTTAATTCTGACAGGTCCTTCTTGACAAGCTGATTATACCTGTTCCTGTGCATATCTGAATGCTCAATTGAGTGCAGATAACTTGCCTATTTGGTCACACTGATCACAATTAAACCAAGGCACCTCTCCCTTGATCCACTTTCAGTACATCTAGTTAACAAGTAGCATATTCTCAACGGTTTACTGTTTTGGAGAATACCCTTTTAAATTCTGGAGTAAGCACTGCCAAGACAAAAGGAATGGAAACAGCACTGGGAAATACTAGTTTATTAAATAATTCCCTATATTTTTATTTCCTTTGATGGTTATAGGGATAAACCAGCTCTAATTTATTTTGCTGATTGGTCTTCTAACAAAGCTACAAATAATTAACCTGGCAGAACCTGCTGCCTCAGCAACAACTGCAGAACTTTTGTATTGTGTCTTCTGAGCCTTTCACAAAGTGTACGTAAGAGGTTGGCCACCATGGAGAGTGAAATCTTGTTCAAAACAAAGCATTACAGGTTACAAAATCTTCCAGTGACCTCAGAAGTTTATATGATATCTCTCAGCTTTTTCTAATATAAATATATTTACATTTCCCACGGAAAACATATTTAAATCAACTATTTCTGGATTTGCAGTATTAGATAAGGATTCCATGCAAAAAACAGACTACACCCACAACATATGAAGTCAACTTTTTTGGAAAGAAGAAGAAAGTATCCACAGATATGAAAGCAATGTGTGTGTTTACCTCCACTCTTGAGAAGATAGCGATTAACATCCTGTATCGTGGTATTTATGGTAGGCCCAGTTGGAACACTTCCAGGAGTAACATCAGGGTCATTTTCAGGATCAATATTCTGCAGTCCTTTCCATGGCACTCCTGGATGAAACTCTGTTTCAAATACAATAAAAAGAAGAGCAGCTAAAGTTATAAATCTCCCAAAGTTCCTGTGTAAACATGAGGATTGGATAACTAAAACCAATGTTACGTTTTAAGGACATCAGTTTAGCACAAAATGCTTTGTTATTTTGATACCTGGTGGCCAGTTGATGCTGGAGCCATTGGAAATTTTATCACTCTCAGGTTTGGCACGTGACCAGCTGTGAGGAACAGCTACAGGTGGGCTGGCAGGAGACTCACTGTTCTGAATCAGATCATACCGGCTGTAGGAGTCATCAATGGAGGACTTTCCTGGAGGACCAATACTTAAACCTCCAGGTATAGCACCTGTAATAGAAAGGCTTTGGTTAGGAGTGGGACTGACTTTGGGTATGGAATTTCATCAGTCCCTATATACTGATTTTTATATTATTTTTCTTTCTGTAAAGATAAAAAAAGAATGATTAAGTCTTATCAACACCATGAGCAAAACTTAACAGCCTCTGAAGCCTATGAGGAATTGGAACTGGTACAGTCTAGATACTGACACTGCATTACTTCCACAAAGAGACTAAGTAATTCAAATTATTACACTGATGGCAAAGAGGAATTTTCTGAGGCAGAATACTATGGAATATCACTGCAGGCAAGCCCTCTTCCCATCCTTCTCTAGGTATTCATTGCTGATGGGTTGGATGCATTATCTTAAATGCCCATTCTCATGTTTCTACAAACTTATCAAACAACAATTTGGCATAAACAGTGCAGAAGAAAAAACTCTTGTAAAAGAAATAATTAATGCTGGTCATAATAAAATCCAGGATACAACAAAGTTAACAGAGCACCATGTTATAACAGAAAAAACTTGGTACAGGAAATAAAGGAATGACTCAGGATACCGGAGGCGTGTGGGATAAAGGTGTTCAAAGAGATTAGCAACCACTTCTGGAAAAACATGAAGTTTGTGCTCCTGATTCCCAGGGTGGGTAACAATGTAATCCATCATGCCCTTGTACAGGACTGGCTGGGAAAGGTTGATGAGACTGGAAGAATTGTGGGAGAAAGCCAATGTAAAGTTTTTTTGGATTGAAGGTATGCAGATGTGGAGTAAGGGGAAGCTTGTGGGACTTGTTTTGCCAACACTAATGGCTTGTTTTACTTCAATTCCATGTTCTGAGCAACAACATTCAGCAGATGAAAAAAAACATTCCTACACTGCATGTAGGAAGTGACAGCTTCAAGAACATCAATGCACTGCTGAATGGGACTGCAGAAATCATCTTAAAAATATCACAGTCTCCAAGGGTGCTCCGTACCGACCATTTCTGAGCACTTACTGAGACTAGTAATGAGAAAAAAAGAATGAAAATTGCACTATGACTCAAGTCTCTTTCAAAAAGCCAGGCTGACAAATGAAATGTGACATACCGTGCTTGCTGGAGTTCTGGTCAAGAGAAGAAGCAGCACTAGACAGATTATCCATTGAGTTGGGGTGTGTCCACTGAGGAAGGCGAGACTGGGACTGAGAAGTGTCCTTCACTGACAAACCACCAGTAATGTCCATGTTATTTACATTCATGTTCGGGTTCAGTCCAGCTGTGAGGAAATAGGTCATTAGATATCCATAATATACTGCAAGATTTAAAAGTGTGTTTTTAAAATCCAGCTTCAGAATTTATTAACCATTGATTTTCAGGTATCAGTATTGATTTACTTGGCACATTTTCAATCTGCTGTCAGGAACTTGGGTTTTTATGGGAACACCCACTTAGCCCCCATGAATTCAGAAAATGTTTCAACTTTGCTAAAAGGAAAAAGAAAAAAGATGTAGGGATACAATTTCAAAGCTGTCAGTGTTCCTACTTGCAGTCTCTTTGCTTGTGTCAGAAGAGGAATTCTGGAAGAATGCACTGGAACACTACATTTCAACCAGTGAAGAATTTGCAGCATTCCATTCCCAAGCCAAAATATTCCAACTGTCTCACCAGCCCAGCCCCATGATGTCTGCCATATTGTTTTGCTGACAACATTTAAGAAATCCCAAATGAAGCAACTATTTAAAAGGAACACACACAGCTGCTATCCATCAGAGCTGGTATTGTATTATTCGGGCACAGATTTTGTGTACCCAGAACAAAAATCACTCACACTGTATTTAAGGAATGATTTTTGACATGCCTCTGTTACACAAATCTGCGTCCTTTTTGATATATAATCCTGAATGTTAGCAAATCACAGGAAGCTGAGATATGATAAGAACCTCTTAGACTTAGGCATTTAATTCATAAATTCTTTTGCCTTCTGATGCTCCCTGCCACAACAGCTCACCCTAGCAGTCAAAATTACTTTCTTAACTGCTGCATGGTAGATAAAGCTTGGCAATTCTATTGTACATAGCATAAAGAGAGTCACAAAGAGATTAAACAAATTCCTTTATGTCATAAATGAAGTCTGTAGCATATGTTAAACAATCACAGAAAACAGGTTGGAAAGGTTGTTCTCTTCACCCTGTTTCAAGGCTGAATCAATTACTTTGACATCAATCATATTTGACAGAGCTATGTCTAACCTACCACCAAATGGCTGGTGGAGAAGATTTCAGACACTGCCTAGATAATTTATCCCAGTACTCTAGTTTGCTTAAAGCAAATAAATTATCCTTAATGTTTAACTAGATCTCTTTTTATGCAACATAAGTTGATTACCTCTTGCATTAGCCACATACAAGAAAACTTCAAAGCTAGCTTTTACATTTTTCAAGATTTCTGCATGTCTCTTCAGGCTTCTCTTTAGATGAAAGTGAGCAGAGGACCTTACTTCCTCCTTAGCAGTAATGTTTTTGAACCATCTTATCACCTGCACAACACTCTGCATTGCTTCAAAACTGATTGATCTTTCTTGAAATAGATTGACCAAAATTGATGCTTATGCACATGACATTTGTGTATTTTACAACAAGATGCTGTTAATACGTATTTAGTTCATAAACAGCAACATATGTAGATAGTTAATCCAGCAAATCTTCCATCCAGGTATTTTTAGGCAGAGCACAGGTGAGCAAAGAAGGCTCAAGGGGAGACCTTATTATAGTGTTCCAGTACTTGAAGGGTGGCTGCCAAGAAAATGGAGAGTCCCTTTTTATAAGGAGTCACATGGAAAAGACAAGGGGTAAGGGGAGCAAGTTGCTCCTGGGGAGATTTGGAAACAAGAGGTAAATTCTTCACCCTGAGGACAGTCAAACATTGGAATAGTGTCCCAAGGGAAGTGGTGGATTCCTCCACATTGAACAGGTTTAAGTCTCAGCCTGACAGGGTGCTGAGATACCTCATATAGACTATAGTATTACCTAGAAAGGTTGGATCAGATGACCTGGCATTCTATGATTCTGTGAAACACATCCCCCCCTGAACAGCTACCAGACAGGCACCAAGCACCATCGGTTTGTTGAGGCATTTCAACCCTATTTAACAAAACACATCTTCTGTATTCCTGTCTTGTATCGTAGAGCACAATATTTAGATGCTGAAGCAGTGAAATCCACTCCCTCTGTCTTTTCCATGGGGAACTGCTTTAATGAGGGACACTTACCAAGAGGGTAAGGAGCAAAGGTGTTCGGTGAAGACTGTTGCTCTTTGGTCTGCAGGTCAGGTAGGCCGGGAGCCTGGGGATGGGGTGAAAAGCTATCCATGGCTGATTTGCCTGCAGAGGGGTGCAAAGATAGATGTGGAGGGGGAGGCTGCTGCTTCATAAGCAGGGCCTGGGCCAGCTGGCGCTGGTGCTGCTGGATCTGCTGCTGCATGTTATTGATTGTACGTGCAACCTGGCAAGAGAAAGAATCAATAAATGCTCCATTGAACAAAAGGACACTAGATGTCTCCTGCTTTTTCTCTATAGTGATATAACACAATAGATCTCTTTACAAATAAAAATTGACTGTTTGAAGGGTTGAAGAGCTTCCCTCCAATAACTGAACACTGTGAAATAGCTTTATTACTCTAGCACTCTTCCCTTTTCAATACTCAAGCCATGCACTGTGTTACTGTTTCTAAGGATGCTTTAGCTGCTTTGGTGTAACAGAGCACAATCTCTTGAAGCTACTGAAACCAAACTCTTATGAGAGAGACTTTAAGTGGCAGGGAAACTTACTTGCTGCTCCTGTTGTCTCATGGGTCCGGAAACATTACGCTGAGCCTGTAACATCTGCTGCTGGATTTGTAAACGTTGGTACGCCTGGAGGCAGAGAGGAGAGGGCTGAGCTCCTAACACATACAATTAACCAGACAAGCTTGCTTGGACTGCTCTGGTACATTACAAAATAAAAAAAGATACTAAGAGTTTTCTGAAAACACACAGTGAAACAAAAGTAACATCCTTGTTCCAAATGTATTTTATTATATATTTAATTCTAGTGTTTGCTGCTGTTTGCTTTTTTAAAACCAAAACACAATTTAAAATGTTTTAAGTTTATGAGCAATAAATTTTCATTAAACATAGGAACCATTTTCTTTGTTGGGAAAAAAAAATGTAACCCAACACAAAAATGAAAATAATGTTTATACTATTATACAAATAGGATAAATACCAATAGTTATTTTTGGTTTGGCCATTTTGAGTTCTGACAGCACTGGGTAATTAGTTGTGCTGCTTCATTCCAGAGATTTTCCACAAGGCAGTACATTTGTTGTTTCAAGGTGTTCCTCTGAAACATGTATTTAAAAGCCAAAGGAGCTCTGTAAGGTATCTTTCATCTGGGTGCTGTTTAATTATTACCATTGCACGAGATCAATGCTGTACTCTCCAAAACTAGGAAACACAACCAGAAATGAGTAACAGTATCAAACAGTACTCCTAACAGATGAGCTGGACTAGTACACTGAGATCAGCAATTATGCTAGTTTTCATCCTCAATTTTACCTTTAAAACACTGACTTACTGGTAGCAGTACCTCTTTTGAAAACGTTCTTAACATCTAAATAAGTATTTTCATGCACACAGGTGAAATTTTCAAATACAGCAAAAGAACACAACTTTTCAAAAGTTCTTCTTATTACATGATGTGCTTAATATACATGTTATTAATTACAGGAAATTTATCCTACACTTCATTATTTAGTGAGAGAAATGAAGTTCTCCAGGTAATTCAGGTGACCAGCACTGCTGAGATTTCTCTCCTGTGTGACATAAATCTCCCAGTTGGTCACTTAGTTGCATTTGTTGGCATGTAATACACAGGTTTAGTGCTGTTTGAGAACATACTAGGTTAACTCAAACCAGTAGGAAGACAACTGACTTTTTTTGTTTCACTCATCAGCTGTAAAGGATAATTACTCCACAAATGACTATTTATAAAGCCTGAGGCAAAAAAAGCATGATTTTGTTTCTTTAAAAAGAAATACCACCAATGTAATCAGCATCTGATTGTTTGAAAGATCTGCCATGTCCATTAAAAAATTTAGCTAGCCATTTTCTCATTTTATCTTCATGCCTTTAATTCTGATTTAGAGCTTATTTGCCACATCTTTTAACTTACCAGCTGCAGCTGATAGAGCTGGTTCAACATCGTCATATGCTGAGGATTATTAATTGGCGAGGTTAACTGTGCAGGGCTGAGACCAATGTTTTTTGCTGCAAACTGCAAAAGCTGTGCTTGAACCTAAGGAAAAGCAGTGTATTAAACATTGTACATTTACTTTTAACAGTGGCAACTGTGTAAACCATCAACAAGAGTCACAAGACATCAGCTGGAAAATATTACCGATACCCAAAGTAGCACCATGAACTATAAAATAAATTAACAAGAGGCTCTAATACAAATCGTAATAACCACACTCCAATGTGCACTTAGAGCAAAAGAGCTGAGAAAAAACTCCTCAGCTCTTTAGAAACACTACTTTTTGCAAAAAGGAACACGAGAATGTGCCCACACGGATCATGTAGAGAACATACATGCCAGAACATCCTACCTGTGTTACATGCTCACTGGGCTAAGAAATAAATCAGAGACACAGCCAGGCAACAGTAGCTGCAAAGCCTCAACAGTGTGACAGAATGCATATGGAGAGAAGAGTGTGTATGGAAGAGTTCCAGGGAAAGGAAAAACTCAGGAGTGGAAGTGTTGTCTAACCTGAGGGGATAGAAACTGAGGCACTTGAGCACGAAGACTAGGCTGGGATGAATTAAGAGGTTGCACTGGCGGTTGCTGCGGCTGTTGCATGGTCCTGGTTTGTGCTGCTCCGCTATTGCCAAACATACCCAGATTGCCACTCGGTATCTACAGCAGGACAGGACAGACATTGGCATTTAAAGACATCACTCAGCATATCACCTGGAAGTTACTTATCCGTGCAGCCTTTATCCTCAGGGATTATGACGGGCACGGATAAAGAAGCCAGCAGATACAGACTGTACTGATGATCAGGTTTAGGATCAGGGCATGGCAAGGATCGCCAGGTACCCAACGTCCCAAACGGTGCACAGATGCCTCAACAAAAGGCAGCTGAAGTTGAAGACCACTATTGTAAGGATGTATAACCCTAGAGGGTCACAAGATGAACAAAGTACTTGCCAAAACATTTGTGTTTATGTAGCAAGGGACAGGAGAATGGAGTCATTAAACTCACAGAATCCAAATCCTTGAATTATCTAGGCAGTTTTTATACTTAAGTCATTTTACAAAGCTACTGGTAACGGACATGCTATTAGTGCAGTCTCTGCTTCTGAAAGATATGCTTAATGGGCTCCAAGTCCTGAACAAGTACTGCCTTCAGAAGAGTAGCTTTAAAAGAATATACGTAACAAAAGCCACCAGAGAAAGAACCTGTAGTTTTCCTGTGTTGTTCTTTCTTATCTTTGCTGGAACGTCAATTTATATGGCAAAAATAACCTTTGCATAATCAACAGTAGTTTATAGCCTCTCAGTCTTGTGGTGTTTATCAATCTTCCCCTCCATCTCCTTCCCTTTTCTTTCCCTTCCATCCAGTTTTACTCAGCAGCCAAAACATCTCCCTTGCCACAATGCTCTATGTGACCAGAGGTGCAAGAAGCACAGCTTCTTTCTTCCCACCTGTCAATGCTGTGAGCCCTCCTGGCACTTACAACAGCAATAAAAAAAGACCCCATCACTTCTCACCCATCTCATCCCTGAATAATTATGCCAGCCAGGAAAGATGAATTAGAGCAATGTCTCTGCTTCAGAGTGTGTGACAATTAGCAATGCCTCAAAAAAAGACACCGCACATCAATCAGGGCAGAGTTAGACCAGGGTTCAGTGGTATAAATCCAGAACACTACAGTCTCTTCTCAAGGGATGCATGTAATTAGCAGGCTAATTACAACTAAAGAGTTTTTATGTCCTATAACATAGAATGTTTACACAGCAGGTAGTTTCTCCCCTGATATTTCATGTGAACAAAGACGTTGCACACACTTCCAGTGTAAAACACCACTTCCCCCAGGGAACTGATGAGTCCAAGAGAGCTGAAATTCAACTTGGGATCTCCCCCAACAGCCTTACCTGTCTAGAAGAATTCAAGTTTTGCATGCCCAGCCCTGAGGCAATCCCGCCCAGGGTCTGATTAGGGAGTGCACTGTTTGAAAGGGGGAGCTTCAGGCTTGGTGAAGGCAAAAATGGTGAAGTAGTGGGCTCTTCCACTAGGCCGCCATCCTGATTGGAGAAAGAAAGGGTGAGCTGCGTGCGGTGCCCAGGAGCAGGCAGCACACAAAACAGTGTCCCATGGAAATAGAAAAGGGCATGGATGAATAAAAATATTTTTTAAAAAAGAAAAAAAAAGAAAAAAAGAAGAAAAAAAAAAAGGAAGAAAAAAAGACATGAATAACAGGGAATGAAAAAACATGGAGTGACGGGAGAAGAAAGAAAGAAATAGTATTAAGGTACTGTTTTTCTTTATTTTGGTACACTTAATCCACTAACGTACAATCACCCTCACCCATCTCTCCAGAAGGAGAGGAATTCAACAACTGAGCACTGAGTTATCACCTCTTCCTCCCCCCTTAGCTCCATCTCCTCTCTCCTCCCCCAGATTGAAAAGTGGAAAGGGAAGAGACCCAGCAGATTCTGGGGAAGCCTTCTTTTAGGTTAGTAAACTCCCAGCAGCGTAGCACCAAGATATTGCTTTTGTTAGCCCAGAACCTGAGAAAGGCCAGATCAGCTTATATGATAGCAGCCTGCATTGGGTTCCACATCACAGCTCTGCTCTTAAAAAAGCATTTTTGCACTAATCCCCTTTCCTAACCGAGACACATGAGCCTTGTTTAATATTCACACAGCACTGAGTTATTATTATCCACTATGAAACATTACACTCTAATGCACCCAAGGAACACAAATATCCTTTAAAACAATAATTATAATGTTTTCTGCATAACCTTCCTAGGAAAGTGATTAAGATACTGCCTGAACATCCCCCAGGAGGAGACAGATTCCAGCAAGCCATGAGGACCCCTCTCTGATAACCAGGCTGAACAGGGATCTGGCAGCCCCCGCGGGGGGGGGGGGGGGACCCACAAAAAAAAA